TTATTTGGCTGCTTTACAGGAGATGATCTTGGCCCTTTTCATGTGTTTATCTTCCATAATGGTGTAATTAATTGGCAAGGTGAAACTAAATACATGGGGGGTGATGTAGAAATCTATGAGAAGGTGCAAGCTAAGGATCTTTGTATACAATTCTTTAAGGATAAGATTGAAGATCTAGGGTATTCTTCAATAGGAGCATACATTTATCATGGTGGACATGGTATTTGTAAGTTACTACAAAATGATATAGATGTAGAAAACTGTCTAAGAGAAGCAGAGGATGAAGGTAAAATGTTGGAGATTTGGGTAGAAACTATGGATGAAAATGACTTTTTTCCAGCTGAAGTTGAGTTTGAGGGTGAATTGGAAAGTGAGTTAGAGGTTGAGGTTGAGTGTTTGAATAATGAGGCTGATTTATCCATGAATGAGGCAGAGTTATCCATGAGTGAGGCTGAGTTATCAATGAGTGAGCCAGAGTTAACCATGAATGAACCAGAGGTGAACATGAATGAAGCACAGTTAACCAGGATTGATCCAGAGTTAACAAAAGAAGAGGAAGAACACTGTTAAATTGTGTCATATGATTGGGATGATATTCAGTTTTCAGATGATGCATCTGTAGTTGAATCTGACAGTGATGGGGAAAGTAAATGGCCTGTGTTCAGAGAAGCTACTGACATGAGTGATCCAGAGTTTAAATTAGGCATGACCTTTGCTTCTAAGAAACAATTTAGAGAAGCAGTGCAGAATTATGGTTTCAAAAATGGGAAAGATATCAGAACTGTTAGAAATGATGCTTTGAGGGTTATAGTTGAGTGTTCACAGGATGGTTGTCCTTGGAGAATATGACTGAGGAAAGTGCTTCACTCACATGCTTGGAGGATTTTGAACATGGTTAATGTGCATGAAGGTTGTTCTTGGGTTTGGGAGAACAAAATGGTAAAAGCTGCTGTGGTTGCAAAGAGGTGGGCCAAACAACTGAATAACAACCCTGAATGGATGATGAAAAAATTCAGGGATACAGTTACAAGTGAAGAGGGGTTTTATTTAAGTGATCAACAAGCCTACAGGGCAATGTGGAAAGCCAAGAAACAGAGAATTGGTGATGCTGAAGACAACTTCAAGAAGATTTGGAGCTACCGTGCTGAAATGGATAGGACAAACCCTAGGAGTAGGTATAAAGTGAAGCTGAGTGACTTGCAAGATGGGATTACTGGCCAGGAAAGATTCTTAAGGATGTACATTTGCTGGGATGCTTCCAAACAAGGATTCAGACATTGTAGACCTCTAATAGGTGTGGATGGATGTCATTTGAGAAGTGGATCTGGTGGGATGCTCCTGACTGCAGTGGGTGTTGATGCTAATGACTGTATTTTCCCACTTGTCTATGCTATTGTTGAAGGGGAAATGAGGGAGTCTTGGTCTTGGTTTCTAAAGTTCCTAGCTGAAGACTTGGGGATAACAAAGGATAGAGAACAGGAGTTTACCTTTATAAGTGATAAGCAGAAAGGATTGCTGCCAGCATTTGAAGAAATTATACCTGGTGTGGAGCACAGGTTTTGTGTGAGGCATCTGCACTCAAATATGAAAGTTGCAGGTTTCCAAGGGAAGGCATTGAAGGATGCTCTGTGGGAATGTGCTAGGGCAACAACTAGGAATTCTTATACAATTGCACTAAGGAAGCTTAGGGTCTTAGATGAAGCAGCTTATCAATGGTTGGGTGACAAGTCTCCCACAGAGTGGACTAGGTCTCACTTCTCAACCTACACTCACTGTGATATGTTGGTAAACAACATATGTGAGTCATTCAATGCAGCATTACTTGGTGCTAGGGACCAACCAATCATAGACTGCCTAGAGAGTATAAGGAAAATGTTAATGGCCAAGTTTTTTGAGAACAGACAAAAAACATCTGAATGGAAGTCAATGATTTATCCATCAATTGTGGGGAAATTGAAGAAGATAGAGAAGCAGGCTTCAGGGTGTTTGGCCACTCAAAGTGACTTCTTCAAATTTGAGGTGCAACAGTTATATGGGCCCTAACATCAGGTGGATCTGGAAAGGAAAACTTGCTCATTTAGGGTTTGGGATTTGACTGGGATTCCTTGCAAGCATGAAATCTGTTGTATTTGGAAGAAATATGGGCAAGGAGCACACTATAATTATGTCCATCCCTGTTATTCCAAGGAAACTTATCTTAAGATTTATAGTTGCTCCATTAACCCCATGGCAGGGCCTGAAGAATGGCCACTGTTTAGCAGAGAACCCCCACTGCCACCTATCTATTCTGCAAGGGTTGGAAGACCGAAAAAGCTTAGATTGAGATCTGGTGGAGAGGTGGAGACAAAGATGAGTGAAGATGGCTTCAAAGTCTCTAGAAAGCATATCTTACTGCATTGCACAGTTTGCAAGAAACCTGGCCACAATGCAAGAAAATGTCCTTCAAATCCAAACCCTAAAGAAAAGGTATTATACACTGTGTTATTGTTTTACTTGAAACTTTATTGTTCTGAAACAATATGTTACAAACACTGTGTTTTTGTTTTACTTGAAGCAAAAAAAAAAGTCATTTATTCCACCAAGCAAATCCCCATCAAGAACAAAGCAAAGGTGCCTAGGCAGCAAGGAGGTACTGATCAAGGACCAAGCCAGCATCAAGGAGAAGGTAGTGATCAAGCACCTAGGTAGCAGCAAGGAGAAGGTAGTGATCAAGCACCTAGGCAGCAAGGAGGTACTGATCAAGGACCAAGCCAGCAGCAAGGAGAAGGTAGTGATCAAGCACCTAGCCAGCAGCAAGGAGGAGCTACTGAATCAGTTCCAATTAAGAAGGAGGTCTGTTCTGAACAAGGAGGCAACACCAAGGCCTCAAAGAAAAGGCATTCCAATCGGAAGAAGCCCTACTATACAAGGAGTAAGACAACATTCAAGTCCAAATTCCATGGAAACAATGATGACCCTATCAACATTGAGTGAATTAACTTTAGCCTATGTTTTTGGTTTTGGTAGACTGTACTGGTAAACTGCTTCAGTAGTGGTTTTTTATATACTGAATGCACAAAAGCTATGTTGTTTTCTTTTTTTGCTCTTTGGGAATGTATTCACAGTCGAATTTGAAAGCTGCTAATGCTAAGTTTTTGTCTCTTTGGGAATGTCTTATGAAATGCATACTGAATTGCAAAGTTTCAGTACCAAATACAAATGCAATTACTTAATGACCATTTGATTACCACATGTCCAATTAAGTACCAAATGACCAAATGACCAATTCATTACCAAAAGACCAATTCATTACCAAATGACCAATTCATTACCAAAAGACCAATTCATTACCAAATGACCAATTCAGTACCAAAAGTCCAATTCATACCATTACAACTCAAAAGCCACTGCACACAACTACAATTCATAGGCAATTACTGCCACAATACTTGGTACCAATAAAACATACAAAAATTAAAAGCATTATTCCTACAATCTTCTTCAACCCATTTCCAGCCTCTTTCTTGTCACCTTCAATCTTCTTCATGTCTAGAGTTCTTACATCTTCCTCCAGTCTATTTATGTGTTTAAGCAATCCCGGAATAATTCGCTTGGAACGGTAGCACATTGGAGGGTCATACCACTCCACAAATCCACATCCAACGTGCCTGTGACTCTGATTATACAAAATTCACAAACCAACAGAAAACAAAATCAAATTGTGTATATAGGAACACTGAAAAAAAAAAAAAAAAAACCATAATTTACTTACACCACCACCGGAGCAATGCCAAAATCTTCGACCTGGATTGTCATTAGTCCATGAAGTTCGAATCTTGAGTTGGTGACCACATCTACAATGGAGAATTGGGAACCTTTCCCCAAATTCATTGTACTGATTACCAGTAGAAGAAGAAGAATAACTCACACTACTCATACCCCCACGGAGAAACGCAGTCCTGAAACCTCCTTCTTCGTTGAACCAATTTAGGGCCTCCTCTTCGTTGAAACGCAGTCTTGATTCGTCTATGAAGGAAGAGAACTACCAGCGACACATTTCCAATGTTAGGGCACTTCATCAATTAAGAGGGCTATAATGCAATTCATTCGGGTCGGGTAGCTTCAAGGTCAACAACCCGAACAGACCAACCATATTAGCAACCTGAAATCCCTTATTTGCCCCTGCCAAATCGGAGAAATGTTTGACTACCATTTTTCCGGTGGAAATTCGCCATTAATTTGGCCAGCGTGACCAAAATTGATAGAAATCCCATAGTCAAGGTACTACATTAACAGTTTTAATAGTCAAGTGCTGCAATTAACACACCACTAATAGTCAATGGACCAAAATTGAAATTTTCTCTTGTTGACACAATTCTTTTATGATGGTTTAACTCCTAATTGTCAGTCTCTTGTAGATACTACTGCAGGTGGATTCACATGTGATAAAAATAGTGATGAATTAGAAGCTATCTATGAGAACTTAGCTAGTAATTCTCGACAAAAGGCAGTGAGAGGTCGAAGAGCTGTTGTGCATGAAATTAGCACACAATCTGAGTTGACAACACAAATGACTAAATTCACTAAACAGATTAACTTGTTGATGACTCGTGATAGTTCGAATAGAGAATTTTGTGTTTTTTGCAATACATATGGTCATAATTCTTCTGTCTGTATGAATGCAGAGTCATCACAACCATCTTATGAGGAAGCTAATTACATGGGATCCAACATGGGTAGGCAACCACCAAGAAATGATCCATTTTCTAATACATATAATCCAGGTTGGCGAAATCACCCTAACTTCTCATGGAGAAATCAAGGTAATGGTAATGCAAGACCAATGGGACCACCTGGATTTCAACAACAAGGACCATCAGGATTCCAGCATCAACAATACAGACCTTTTCCAGCAACCACCTGCACCAGAACAGTCTCAACTTCCTGCTCAGGAGAAGAAGCCTCAATTGGAGGAGATGTTCATGCAATACATGGCTAGCCAGGACACTATGATGAAGAAAATGGATGCAAAGATTGATAAGGTTGCTCAGTCTAACCAAGCATCTATTCATAATTTAGAGGTGCAAGTAGGTCAGTTGGCTAAATTGGTTGCAGAAAAAGATCGAGGTAAGTTTCCTAGTACCACTGAAATAAACCCTAGGGAAGGAGCTATGGCTGTCACGTTGAGAAGCGATAAGATATTGAATGAAATTATGAAAGAAAATGAACCCTTAGGGTTGAGAAAGAGAGTGATAAAGAAGAGGATCAAATGCCTAAAGAGAATTCTAGTGATCAAAACCTCACTTCCTCTATAGTAAAACCTTATGTACCCCCGTTCCATATCCACAAAGGTTACAAAAGAGGAACCAGGACAATAACTTTAAAAGATTTTTAGAGGTTTTTAAAAAATTGCAAATTAATATTCCTTTTGCAAAAGCACTTGCTAATATGCCATCTTATGCCAAGTATATTAAGGAAATTGTGTCTAATAAAAAGAAACTGGAAGAGTTTGCTACTGTGCATCTAAATGAGGAGTGTAGTGCTATTCTACAAAGCAAATTACCTCCTAAGCTAATGGATCCAGGAAGTTTTTCTATTCCTTGCACTATTGGTAATACTGTCATTAATAAATGCTTATGTGATCTAGGTGACAGTATTAACCTTATGCCTTTAACTCTTTTCAAGAAGTTGGAAATAGCTGAAATGAAGCCAACAACAATCTCTCTTCAACTTGCTGATAGATCAGTCAAGTACCCGCTTGGAGTAGTGGAGGATATATTGGTAAAAGTTGGTAAATTTTATTTTCCTGTTGATTTTCTGATTCTTGATATGGGTAGTGACACAGATACATCTCTTATACTTGGTAGGCCATTTTTGTTGACAGGAGGAGTATTAATTGATATGCCTTTAGGGAAATTGATTTTTAGAGTAGGTAAAGAAAAAGAGGAATTCTCTATCTCTAAAGCTGTAAAATTTCCAACTTTTGATGAATCATGTCTTTTTGTTCATGTTATTGAGAAACCTCCAGAAGAAGAATTTGTTAAGCATTCACCTAGTGAAACACCACATCAACTTGAACTTAAACCACCTTCATTGCGGTTCAAATACGAATTTTTGAGTAACAATGATACTTTTCTTATGTTTTCTTATGCTCATTTACTTCATGCAAAAGAAGAGAGATTGTGGAGAACATTGACTAAAGCCTGGCATGACAAAAATAATTTTTGGAGAGAATTCAATGTAGGGCAAGAAGTTTTGTTGTCTAATTCTTGTCTTAAGTTTTTTCTAGAGAAATTGAAGTCTAGATGGTTTGGTCCTTTCATGGTCACTAAAGTTTGTTCGTATGAGGCCATAGAGATTGAAAGAGAGAAATAGAGACCATTCATGGTTGCTTCACCAAAAGGCAGCCCCGGAAGAAACTGGCAACTAACAGGGAAGTTTCCTGTTTATTTCATTTTCTCATACTTGCTTTTATATTTAACATTGAGGACAATGTTGAGTTTGAGTGTGGGGAAGGGAAAGTAAGATTAGGGGATGTTTTCTGCAAGTTCTATGCAAAATAGGCAATATCAAAAAAAAATTCTGCATTTTTCCTGCAATTTTCTGCAACATTTTCTGCATTTTCTCTATTTTTCTGCATTTTGCTACAGTAAAATTCTGCATTTTTCTTTCTACATTTTCTGTACTAATTTTCTGCATTTGATGGGATTTTCAGCGTCATTTTTTTTTCCATTTTTATGCAATTTTTCAGCAAAATAAAGTTTAAAAAAATGCCTTCTAATGACTATGTTGATTGGGAGATAAGTTCTAGAGTTTTGGGAGTGCATAATATCAATGAATGTGTTTGGCTATATGTATGCTTGCATAGAGTTGGTAGTCAAATTCTGTCACATCGTGAGCTTTTGAGCCTAGAGGTTGCCCACTGCAACTTATTTTCATTTTGAGTGTTTATTTGCGTTCTTTGATTGTGTTACTTCTAGAACTTGCTTCATACCATTTCGTAGCTACATGTTATATGATGACACGAGAATGATTAAGGCATTAGGATTTAGCCTTATAGCCTTTAAAATGACCACATCCTTATACATGTTAATTTTCTCCTAGTGAACCATTTTGAGCTTTATAATAAATATAAGACATTTGTCTTCATTAGCCAGTTCCAAAGAGCCTTAGCTCATAAAAAGAAGACTCTTAACCCGTCCTTGAGTTAGTGGATATCATTATTTCGTTTATCTGTGCAAGATGAACAAAAGTGATGAAGTATGAGTGAGTTTGGAGTTGAAAGGTGATTCTACAATTGGTTTTCTTTGGGTGAGGAATTGGTTGTGATTAAAGGGGGTGAAAATGAAAAAAAATAACAAAATGATATGTCCTAATTGTTGAAATTGAGGGATTGATAGGTCTGGCGGGTGGAGAATAACCACCACCCGCCAGTTAGGCGGAAGCAAAATATGTGATAACCAAAGAACAAGAGAATATAGAGAATATATTATAATGAAAGAGTACAATAGATTGTCTCTCTTAATGTCTATTCTATACTTCTATGGACCTCTATATATACTAAACTAGATACTAAATTAGTCCTAATAGGAATAGGAAACTACTAATAAGAATAGGAAACTAAGACAACTTTCCTATTATTCAACACTCCCCCTCAAGCTGGAACATCTGAAGTTCTAAGCTTGGATTAAAACAAGCACTCTACCTCACTCAAAATTACAAGTGAAAATTAAATGCAACTAGAGGATAACAATGCGAGATGGCTTCGGAGGGACAATGCAACCCTTGGGAATGAACACACCAGGGGCAAAGCTTGTCACGAACATCCTTGGGAATGGAGGCACCAAGGGAAAACACGAACACCATCATAACAATATAAGCACTCGAGGATGGATGACTTCAAAAGAGATTGCGCTATGTCTGACCCTTCCTTGGGAATGAAGACGAAGGCACCAAGAACAGAGCTGAACACAATCCTTGGGAATAAAGACGAAGACACCAAGGACCCTTGGGAATAAAGACGAAGACACCAAGGACGAAGCTAAACACGATCTTGGGAATGAACACACCGAGGACAGAATTGAACATGAACCTCGAGAATGAAGATGAACACACCAAGGATAGAGTTAAACATGAACAACCTCCCGATAACACAAGAGAGCGGTAGAGGCAGAAAGGGAGCAAAGAATAGCAAAGGGAGCCCATAGTAGATAAAATAGCAAATAATAGTAAATGATAGCACACCAATTGTAGATAGTCACACTCCCCCTTACTTGAAACATGGGAAATAATCAAAGGCCTTTATAGTAGTGCTGAAACTGACCATCCATGGGATAAGGCATACCGGAGATAAAGAAACAAACATGGTTATACCAAAACACAAACACCATGGGAAAATGTTCGGCAACAAACCCAAAGAAGCCTTCAAATTTCACCAAAAAGTTGAAAGAAGGGCAAAACAACCATCTGAAAAATCTCGCCGGAGGCAGACTCACGCGCAGGCGCGTGAGGAAGGTCGTCGGGGCGTGACGGCGGCGGTGGCGTGTGAGGACGACGGCGGTGGAGGAAAGCGATGAAATTTTCCAGATAAGGTCGCAAGAGGGAGAGGAATCCATTGGTGTAGGAGGTGAGATCACAAAATCACTGGAGAAGAGGAAATCTGGCCGGAAAAGCGAAAGCACTCCCGACGACGGTGGTGGCGCGTGTGGGCGCGTGCGACGGTGAATGGCGACCGGATTTCAAGCGACGGCTCGCGACATGGTTCCGAGTAAGGCTGTGGTGTTAGTTGCTTTGAACAACAACTAGAAGTGCGTCGGAACGAGAGAAAACAGTGGCGGCAGTGGTTACCCTCCAGTGGCGGCAGCGGCGGCGGAAAGCTAGGGTTTATATTAGGGTTTTAATATTTGAAGAAAAACAGCCTAGGAAAGTAGGCTCTGATACCATGTTGAAATTGAGGGATTGATAGGTCTGGCGGGTGGAGAATAACCACCCCCCGCCAGTTAGGCGGAAGCAAAATATGTAACCAAAGAACAAGAGAATATAGAGAATATATTATAATGAAAGAGTACAATAGGTTGTCTCTCTTAATGTCTATTCTATACTTCTATGGACCTCTATATATACTAAACTAGATACTAAATTAGTCCTAATAGGAATAGGAAACTACTAATAAGAATAGGAAACTAAAACAACTTTCCTATTATTCAACACTAATTTGTGGGTTGAAAAATCTTTGATTGCCTAAACTTTTGTGCTCATTTTATTCTTAAAATGATTTATGAGCAATGAAGGCATGATAGAAATTTGATGATTATGGAAAGAGTACTATTGAGGGTGATGTGGAAATGATGAGCTATCTATTCGGTTTTACCAGAAAAAAAAAAAAGAAAAAAAGGAAAAAAACCAAGAAAAAAATGAAAAAAAAAATGAAAAATGAGATTTTGAAGTTGTTTTGGGAGTTTATCAGTGAAAGGATGAGGGAGAATGAAGTATAAGTGATGGCTTGTTTTGGTAGAGTTCATTGCATTGGTAGAATACAGTTTCTTGCTCTTGATATGGTGAAATTATGGCTCTACTGATTCCTTGGACTTTCTTTGTATTTCCTTATATCCTTTCTTTCATAAACCACATACCCTTGGCCCCATTACAACCCAGAAATAAAGACCTTTTGACTCGTGTTCTTCATATAATTTTGGTAGCGGAGTTTTGGTGGACAAGCAAGCCTATGGCAAGTGCACTCTCAATAGAGGATGGTGTGTACCTTTCTTATACATATATGAATATATATTTGAGAGATTGAGTGAACAACTGTGAGGACTACTATTCTCTATTGTTTTGTGTGCATATGACTTTGAACTCTCATGAAGTATTATGTGTTTACCAATTCCCTTGAATTGAATGACTAGTTGACATGGGTATGGTTGGTAGTTTGATTTTATTAAATAAGTTTGTTTGGGGACAAGCAAAACCTTGAGTGTGGTGAAGTTTGATAAGCTTAATTTCTAGGCATTATTTAGAGTAATTTTAGTTAGTGAGTTGAATAAATAAATTAAGTTTTAGGGTTAATCATATTATAAATATTATATTTAGTTATATGTTACTAGTTTAGACTAGTTTAGATGAGTTTTAATAAGTATTAGCCTAATGTTTGCATTTTTATTAATATAAATAAGAATTTTATTTTAAGTATAGGATTAAATTTATTTGGTAGTTATATCTTCAATTTTAAATAAGTATTTTAATAATTAAGTCTAATAAGTGATGTCATTAGGTTAGAGTTATTTTACTTTAACTTAAAGTGTTGTTTTGTTTATTTTTCTTGAAGGATTCACGCAGCACGGAGCGGAAAATAAAAAGAAAGGGGGTTGCTTTTGTGTTAAGAATTAGAGAGACGGCAGAATATTGACGACGAAAGCAGAACAGGAAAAAAAAAAGAGCTTGGGAGCGCAACAACAGTTCGGCGAGGAAGCGAAGAAATTTTCGAGCTTCAATCGCAGCTATCATCTCTTAAGCTTGAATTATTTTTCTTCCCTACTTTATTTCTTGTTTAAATTTTCAGAATGATGTTTCTTGAACAATTTATACATTTAATTATGATTATTGGCTAGAACTTTAATTAGGGATTTGGATTAGCCTAGATTAGATTAATTGATTATTCTTCATGATGTGTTGATTCATCTAATTTCAATTTAATAATTGAACTTGATTATATTTATCTTATGTATTTTAATTGTGGATTGTGTGACTAGCCACTGCATAATTCTAATATTAGGGTTCATAAGAAGAACTGACAGGTGAATTATGAACCTAGAACTCGTATGATAAACATAATTGACCTAAACTAGACATAGCTTTAGGTATTTGTGGTGATATTTGATTGTTGCTTAATGGGTTCAATTAATGTTGGTGAGATATAACGGATGATCACAGTTAATTGGATACAACCTAGTAGCTCGACGGAGTATTATGATATATTTGAAACAATCATCACTATAGTCATAAGAATCAATACTTAGGAGAGTTAGTTAATTATCTAATAGGTGAACCCCAAATCCCTAGTCTTCTCTCAATTGGAATTTTCTTTGCTTTAATTTCATAAATATTCTTTTTAATTATAATAATTCTAATTATTTGCGTTTTTCCTAATCAACAAATTGATTATTTAAGATAACAGTTAATAGTGTTCTTCGTGGGATCGACCCTGGAATACTCCAAGAATTTATACTCTGATTGACTCTGTGCGCTTGCAGATTATAGCAATCATTTATGCCAATGAATTTTCTCAAATTGCGCTTTTGACAAATTGCAAGATTCCTGAATCCTATGTTCCTAAGTACATAGAGTTCAAGCCTAGTGTCCTAAAGTCTGGTCTTAAG